CCACCGGGATTTGGACTTGGGAGCGATGGTTTCGTACCTGAGAGCGTTATCCCTTACATCACTGAGCCACGATAACCATTTCTTGTGCGACGGGTATAGTCTTAGTGTTATTGCTTGTATTACACGGTCGTTGATTGGACCGAATTGATCAGTCTCTGTTGGCATATGGGCTCCGAATAACTCAATGGTAACATCACTGATAGCAGTAATGAGTGGTGTTGGTTCGAATTTCAGACAGGATATAAATTCTGTCGAGGTTGCAGATACGTCTTGTCGACAAGTTTCAAAAAGCATGAAAACTAGGCCAAACACAGATTCCTACCAATTGTCTCCAGCTAACTAACACAAACGCTCTTTAGTACTTCAGTCAAAATTGTTATAACTAGGCTGATTTATACTGACTGATTGGAAATATTGTATCCTTACCAAAATAACTTCAATCCTACACTAAAGAGTTAAACTTGTAGTGGATACTGCTGATCAGAATGGATCTAAGTAGTATATGTTGTAAAGGCGACAGAAATCATAGGCAATTACTAGCAGTGGGTAAAGATTCTGCCCAGAGAAACGCAGAAGTCAGTGTGGGCGCATTAGGAGCAAATTGAGATAGAAGCAGAAAAAGAAATGAATTGCATTCTGTAAATGGCTGTTTTAGTAGAAAGTGCACAATATTTCATAACTAACGGTACAAGATGTCAATAATAAACACTCCTTCTTGCATCTCAGTCTTCTTGTTTCCTACAGTTGGTGTCGCTGCTTCTGGACGTGAGGATGGAGACATCAAGGTCTTCCTCGGGAACTTTGAGTCGTTGGTGGAACTGATGGGGGTCCGTGATCCAGGAGCGAAGGTCGTGGTGCTTGGCACGTTGCTGAGGGGTAGAACGAAAGCAGTATATGACGGCGTGAAACGAGGGGATGGGAAGGAGACTTAGCAGAGAATTGTTGAACGCCTTGAGGCGGAGTTGGATAGCTCAGTGAACAGGGAGCTGGCGATGCAGTAGTTCTATAGGACGAAATCTGGAATAGACGAAGACCCACTGGTATTAGATATGAAGTCGACTAAGCTACTTCGACGAGCACTTCCCACTTTGGATGATTACCTCCAGGCGCAGCTGCTGGCTGAAAAGTTCACTGGCAGCTATGACTAGTGAGCGCAACCCAACATATGGATATAAGTGTGCTGGCGAAGGGGACCAGATAGCTAATTGGTACAGTAGTAGCTGCAGTGGTGTCGCCAGAGGTAAATAACTTGAAAAATTAAATCGATAACATTCTTGAGGAGGTGGCTGCACTTTGATTGAATATCAACAGACAGAACATTTACCTATTACTGGGAATTGCCTATGATTTCTGCCATCCTCTCAACATATACTACTTATATCCATTCTGATCAGCAGCGCCCACTGAAAACTTAATTTATCTTAATAAGTGTGACCATTTATGGTTTGCGTTCTTAGTAGGTAAGCAAGTTAAGTTATGAACGTTGATCAACGAGGAGGTATATTGAGCAAGTGTTGTGAATGCTAAGTTACTACTTACCTCAATGTGTAATGTTGGCCTAAGTAGAAATGGGTTGAAAAATTCTAAGAGTAGTAAAATCACTTCATGAAGTCTTTGACTATTGATATATGAGCTATCAACAAAAGCATGCGATGTTGGACTAGAATTCTAGAGACGATACAATCCAACGATTGGTAACTCCTGATAAAATGGTTCAAATCGATCACCACAGTGGAGATGCGTGAATTGAGTGTAATCTAGTCATTTATTCTGTATACTTTTGAGTGATGACATAGAGACAGAGGTGTTCGACAGTCCCTTACTGTCTATGTTGTCACGATGGGTTCGTTATTACTATTTATTGACGTACTTGTTACTCTCCGTTGTTTGTTGTGTTGGATCGACTTGTTCCACCTCTATTGGCATATGGGCTCCTATGAGGGTGTCTCGATATTACCTGAATGTCAATTATGGTAATTTGGTTCGTTGTTGGCTAGGAGAAGAGTCCATAACGCGTGTTTCGTCCTATTTGGGACTCGTCAGCTGGATGTACCTGCACCTCAGTGATGTTGTCCCCACTGGGACTCGAACCTCGTACCCATCGCTTCAAACGCCAATGCGTTATCCACTATGCTACAGAGGAACGATAACCACTTCTTGTACAACCGTTGATAGTTATTATTATTTATTGATATACTTGTTATTCTCCGTTGTTTTGCTGGATCGAATTGTTCGATCTTCTGGATTTTCCTGCTAGCCACAACCAACTAAAGGTTTGTTATTCTTGAGATGCCTGAAAATGAAGGATTAGTAAGAGTGATACGTGACCTCAGATTCCAAGAGACATCTACTTGACACCGCCGGTGATAGCCACCTGTTTTGAAAGTTGCAAGTTTAAATTCGTTTGTTTCCAGTTTATCCATAAATCCACACTATTGACACCAAATGACATTAAGGTGGGCAGGCTAATCGTTTGATCTAATTTTCGGGATTTCTCAACAGTGTACATCCATGACTGTACCAGGGGTCGAACCTGAGATCATCCTATTTCATGATGAGTATGTTATCATTCAACCTGTTAGTTTCATTTCAATATTTTCACACGCAGACACACATACACAAAGGTCGAATAAACTTCCTAACAGCTAAGATGTTAACAAATTTATGATCCGTTCCCAACACATTTTGTAAGTAGGTCTAAGGGAAGTATCTACATCAGTCATGTGACCTGTTTCAACGATTTGTTTCGCGATTAAAAAACGCGGCAGTCTGCTTCTAATGTTTATAGATTCAGAAGGTTCAATTTACATCTGTAGCCACTTTGGAATATGCTTAGAGGCCCTTACTTGCATGGATCTATGAGTCTTCTCACTTTGTGCTTATGTGTCACCATACGTACATTGGAATTGGTAGATGTAATGGGATGTGACATTGCCATTCACATGGTCTATATGTTTGGGAGAATATACAGTCGGACCTCATCTGTGTAGTAAGTCGTTCTAACAGCAGGGTTGTCTGTGCTTAAGGATCACACTATAAGAGTCACCTTCGTACGAAAGACTGATGAAAACATCTTTTTCTTTCGGGCTAAAGTGATGATCAGATTTTAGTGCTATGGCTACTTTCTGCTACCTAATAAATTTTAATGGACAATTAGTTCCCAACAATATTTCAGTCAATATTCCTCTATGCATATTCATTGAATTCGACTGAATAAACACCTAACTAACGTACACTTGTACTGAACTGGACAAAAGCTACAATAGTTTAACTACTGTCGTATCCATGTAGGTTTTCTTTAGATAGATCGTTTTATGGATCCATTCTGCCTCACTCAAATTTCCTATTATGACAACAAAGAATAAGATACTCAGTGAAGAGGACCCCTTTCAATGAATTTATTCTCAATCTATACATTCGTCTATTCATATATTATATTTAAAGACTGTAATCTATCAGGTTTAAATAAGTATTTTAAATTGTTTCTAGGGTGTATATAGATTACAAAGGGGGTGAAAAAGTGATGGAGTTAATAACCAGTCAGACGATTAGGTAATAATATGATATGAATAAGACAACTGGTTAATTGGAATAAATTGAAAAGTGAAATGATGGAGAATATCTGTAGCTCAGGTGGATGGTCTTGATTGTATTGTGTTCTCTGAGCTGGCTGGGTTGTTTAACCCAGTGACATCGGAAACTATTAAATATAAAAGTGATAATGATGATATAAGAAAGAGTAAAAGAAAAAAAGATGAATCTAACAAGAGGAGGAAGTTGAAAAAACGAAAAAGATAGAGGAAACACACCAAAACTACAAAGTCAGTTAAGCTCAAGATAGTGATAAAGATTTTACATACATCTTTTGCATATAAAGGCCAGGCTTCAGTTCATGCATAGAAGTTGATGATGCAGCATCAGATATCCTGAAAAATCATCTTCCCAGATCAATGAGTAAGCCTTTTTCTAAGCCGAACTTTATTTAATCTTTACTAGTGGTAAATTAGTCTCCCCTGACATAACCATAATCATGTATATCTACTAGTTTATCTCCTTATATGAAGCAAGATACATTGGCTGTAGTCAGAGATTATTGTTAACACATAAACCAGAAGGATGAATAGAAATGAATCACAACTTCTATCCTTAAATGTTTCATCAATTCCAACTGGAAGAATCATTTAAGGTTGTCTATCGAATAAGCTCAATAAGCTCATTTTTTCTCCATCTTCAACTTCTTAAAGCAACAGACGCCTTGACTATCAATGAACTGAAGTCTGGCCTTTGTATGCAAAAGATGGATGTAAAATCTTTATCTCTACCTTGAGCTTAACTGATTTTGTAGTTTTGGTATGCTTCCTCCATCTTTTTCGTTTTTTCAACTTCCTCCTCTTGTTAGATTAATTTTTTTTAACTCTTTCTTATATCATCATCATCACTTTTATATTTAATAGTTTCCGATGTCACTTCATTTGAACAAAACATTTTCAATTTATTCCAATTAGCTTGTTGTCTCATTCATATCATATTACCTAATCGTCTGACTGTTTATAAACTCTATCACGTTTTCACCCCCTTTATAATCTATATACACCATTGAAACAATTTAAAATACTTACGTAATCCTACTTGTTATCATTCAACCTTGATGTAATCAACTAACAACATTATTCTAAGTATAACCAACATTTATAGTAAAGATTGGATACTGGCTACCAATGGAATCAAGGATTCCAAAGGCAATATTAAGGCATCTATACAGCAGCCTATTTGCCAATAGAAACCGATCAATTCGGTCCAATACAAGCACTAACACTATAACCATCATTGTTACTATTTCAAAATATCATACGAATGTACAGCTTGAGAAGAAATTCATTCAAAAGAGTTCTCTTCTCTGAATATCCCTTTTTTTCCCCTTAATATTACCTATATGTTGAAGTAGTTTCGAATCAATGGAGTCAGTTAGGCTAGTGTTTTTTTTAAATAAAACAATCCAATTATTTTATCACAGATTAATCCTATTAATAAATGAGTTTGCCAAGATACTACTAAAACTAGCAAGTGTAGATAGATACTACTGATATTATTGTAAAGTGTGTTGCATATTGATTAAATGTATAATAATAATAATAATAATAATAATAATAATAATATTGATCAAGTATAAATTAGAACTAAGTTGTGATATAAAGATATATACTACTCACAAACAGGACAGGTAGGCGATACAACAAGAGAAGAAGACATATAATGATTTAAGAAGAAAAAAAACATCTTAAATTCTGGTTTATTTTGTCTAAGAAGGAACCAAAGAAATGCATAATTGGCAAATACTTTCAATGAATAAAAATGTAAAATGTTTAACTGAATATATGTAAGTGGATGTTATATCAAGTCTATGAAATCAGTATGGTCATTGTTCCACCTGATATAGGCATGATTACCACCTTCTATTTCAATCATATCATCCTCTATCCTCTATCAAACTAACATCAATGTATTCATATACTACTTTTAATATTACTACTAACGTTAAATAACTTACATTGCTTTATTTATGAATAACATGTATATAAAAGACAGTAAAAGAGAGTAGATAAATGAGGTTGATTTCAATAGATTAGGTGCAGAATTACAATTATCTGTGCCACAAATGCACATTTCTGAGAAACCACCTTCAGATGGACGATTTATACATTTAATTTCTTCAGGTTCACCGCCTTCTGTAGCACAGAAACGTTTCATTAATGTAACTTCTGATGATTTAATCCAATCCATTATTTATTGAACAGTTGAAAAATAAAAACATTGAAACATTATATTAGCTCAAAAATTAAGCTATGAAATATATACTACTTATAAGTACACACTATCTAACCAACTGCAATTTCAGCTAACTTGTTATGAATCTTCAGTGTCATGATCATGAATTTCAATGACATAACGGTTCTAGAGTACATTCATGCAAAAAACTATTTGTCTGTTAAGATGTTATATTTCTGTTATTGTTAAACTTGGTGGCCAATCTGCAGATTTCATAGGGAGGTCTAGGGTGATATAATTATTATAATTGATGTATCCTTTGGGTTTCTAATGGAACATAGGGCATCAGTAGCACATATCCATTCCACTCTCTTCTCTGCAATCCTCTGAACCTGTCACCATGGCCGCCCACAAGATCTCATTTTCTCCTTGCACCATCTCCTCCACGTCACCCTCAGCTGCGACACTCAACTCGTCGCTTCCCATCTGGGTTCCACTCGAGGGCCTGATCTGGCGCGTGATGATAATTTCCACTTCCTTCTGCACATTTGTTCAGCGATAGGTTCTTGATTGGTTCGTTGCCAGCCGGACACAGTTCTTCGGTACTCATTCTTTTTGGCCATCTGAGCTTCAGTATCGAGCGAGCTTAGGTAGAACTTGTTGATAAATGTATGTAGTTTATTGAAAATGTCTTCCGTAACGCTCCAAGTCTCTGAACCATCACATACAAGCACTCACTGACTTGACTGAATCAGTGTTGAAAATCCGAATGTTGTTCACACTTTATGCTGAGTGGAGTGTAGTGCAGAAGACCTCCACACTTGTTTCACACTAATCAACGCCTGTCTTGCTGTCTTTCCCATCCTGGATGGCTTTGATATCCTCGTCCGTACCATCTTTAGTTGAAACGATGCTGCCTAGGATGGTGGGTGATAGAGGCTACTTCCTTCAAGTTTCTCCCATTGATGGTGAATGGAGCATGTTGTTGTTGTTGTTGTTGTTGGTGGTGGTGGTGTTGATGTTGGTGGTGGTGGCGTTGGTTAATTATCTTCATCACCTCTGTCTTCTCCACATTCACTTGAAGTCGTGTCTCCACTGCCTCGCCTCTTCTGTCAACATGTTAGTTTTGCTTGTGGCTCTTCGAGTTTGTGCGACATTAGACATAAGTCATCAGCGAAATTCAAATCTTCTAGGTTCATTTCCGTGGTCCAGTGAATCCCACTCTCCTCGCTCCTCACAGTTTGTCGCATGATCCAGTCCAGTCGACCACAACACAATCAGGAAGATCATCGATGATAGTAGACAACCTTGTCTTACTCCTGTCTTCACTTCACTTCACTTCACTTCACTTCGAAGGCAGCACTGAGCTTCTCATTGTGAATTACTTGGCATGTGGCGTCTTCATATAGCCAGCTGTTGAATGAGGTTGATAAAGGTTTGTGGTATTTTGTAGTGTTGAAGCAACTGCTTGCCAAGTGAATTCTCGATCGACGCTGTCGAACACCGACCCTTTCAAAGTTGATGAAGTTGAGGTGGAGAGTTGACTGTCATTCTGTGCTACGTTGTATGATGTTGTGTAGCGTAGCATTGCAATTTGATCAGCACATGACTTTTTCTTCCTGAATCTAGGCAGCCTGTTCTTGTCGTAATTTTGAATCGAACGCATCCTTCGGTTTCTCAAGTGTGATGGGGCATAATATTTTGCTTGCTTGGGATGGACATGAGCGTGATTCCACACCAGTTCTTGCAAACACTTCGGTCTCTCTTGTTTGGGAGTTTGACAAGGTATCCCTTCTTCCAGTCAGTTGACAGGTACCTCTCCTTCCTTTCAAACCTCCTGCACACCTATTTTGATCTTTGGTATGTAGCGAAAACATGTATCTACAATCTCACAAGGGAATTTTTCTCCTCTATCCTCAAAATTAGTTTTACAGCCAAAGTTCTAGTCACTGAAATATCTAGGTGATGCCTGTTTTAGGATGTTCAGACATCAATAAGCATGCAACTATCCTTCAAGAGAACTACTCTCATACAGTAGCGGAGAAAAATGTTTGAGAGTTCAGAGATTATGGTTTGTTCTATCATTGAAAGAATCTACGAACGATAATTACTGTCAAATACATACAGGAAATTGGTGACCAGTGAGTGACCGATGGAGCTGATCAAGTTCGCATTATGATCGTTAAGCTGAGCAATGCGACAATGTGGTGCACTGTGTTTTTGTTGTAGATACTGACACTCAGTCGATAGGCAGACTCACTTAGCATACGTTTTGAACCTGCAGACCCTCATCAACAAGGTGTATCTGTAATTATCAAAAAAACTGGTGTCTTCTTAGCAATTTCAACCCTCATCGCTCAGTGCTGTGATCAGGGACTGTATAGTTAAATGGTAAAGCCTTTGACTGACGCTGAACATCTAAAGAGCATTGAGATTACGGATATTTGCTATTGTTGACTGTCATTCTGTGCTATGTTGTATGATGATGTGTAGTGTAGCATTGTAATTTGATCAGCACATGAATTTTTCTTCCTGAATCTAGGCAGCCTGTTCTTGTCGTAATTTTGAATCGAGCTCATCCTTCAGTCTCTCCAGTATGATGGGGCCTAATATTTTGCTTGGGGTTGACATGAGCGTGATTCCACACCAGTTCTTGCAAACACTTCTTTGGGAGTTTGACAAGGTATCCTTTTTTCCAATCAGTTGACAGGTAGCTTTCCTTCCTTCCAGACCTTCTGCAATGGTGATGTGATCATGTTCGCTTTTGTCTCTGTGTCAGTTCTCAGTGCTACTGGCGGGATTCCATCTGGTCCTTCTGCTTTCCCGCATTTCAGTAGCTTTATGACGTTGAGGACTTCAACTTTCGTTGGAGGGCTTGTGTCCGCTTGTATTTCTGTGGCTGCAAGTGGTATTTCTGGACGAAGTGCGGGTGGTGTTGATGGTCGATTCAGGATTCAGAAAATTCACCAAACGAAATCGAATCCGCTCTACATTGCTATAGGTCCCACACTTTCTGTAGTCCTGATACTTTAGAAGATGAAATAAATTTCTTTAAAAACTGGAAGGAAATAATCATCCTACTTCTCTGGAGCCTAGAAAGCCTCTTTTCATGATCTTACAATTCAACGGAGACACATCACCAGATATATTTAGAAAGTGTTTGATATACTCATCGAGAAAGACTTTCTATACTGCCAAACTCAGATTAACTTTCCCCAACCAGCCAATTCTTTAATTATGCTTAAATGATAAGCTATCTCCTTGCTTCTGGAAAGTAAGATGTATTGGCCGTACTTGACGTTCGCTTTTCAAACGTATTTCCAAACATATACCAGCCTCGTTCCATAGAAGAGAAAGAAGAATACTTTACTGCTCTATTTTACAACATTTGGTTGATTGTGACCACTTGAGGTAAATGCAGAAAACAACTTCAGTTTCGTTTATAGAGTTCGTGTGAATCTCGTGGAAGGTGTACACCTGAAAGTTCTTCAAACTGCGAAAGCCATGCCAAATAATTGAACTAAGCGTTCAAAAAGAAATCTCTTCTTTGGTAATTAGATTTCCTTTATCATCTTTTATTGGTTTCATCTGTGCTGTGTTGATCTCTTCCCTCCCAGATAGCAGTAACCTGGTTATTTGATACAATGTTGTCAGGTCTCTGTCTCTCCTACCAGCAGCCTGTTCTGCTTCACTTGCCAGTGTGTCGTGGAAATGTCTTTTGTCTTTGCGTGCACTCTTCTTCACTTCTTTGTCTAGTGTGGTGTTTTATACTTTGTACTCAGTTCCTCTTCTTGTTGTTCATCTCTGTCTACACTGGTTCAACTTCTGCTTCACCATCACCATCTTCCTCTCCCTGCTATATCAGCTTCCATGTGTCCGTCGAGATCCATTCCTTATCTTCTTTCTTCTTCCTTCCTAATACGGCTGTGCAGGTTTCTTTCCACATAGCTTTCAAACGATGTTGCTCGATATCTCCCATTTTGTCTAGATGGCTAACGTTAAAATATCCCTTGCAGATTCGTCCTTCACTTTCTGTTCTGGGTGTCCAACTTGAACTGTGGTCTATCACCAACTTTCTTGAAGGCTTTCAACTTGATTTTGAAGGTTCCTTGCACTAGATAGTCGTCTGAGCCCACATCTGCTCCTCTTCTTGACCTTGTGTCAAGTAGGCTGCGTCTCCATTCTCTTCAGATTGAGGTGAAGTCAGTCTGTTTTTTAGTGTGTCCATCTGGTGAAATCGAATCCATGTTGCTTTGTGGATATCCTTGTGCTTGAATACAGTGCCTTCAATCATTAAATCGTTGAATGCGCAGAATTCTGCAAGCGGTTCTACATTCTCGTTCATCATTTCACCGAGTACTTCTCGATCCATGGCTAGTTCTCTTCCTGTGTTGTCCGTTCTTAGTTTGGCATTCATGTCGCCCATTAGAATGGATTTTGACGTCGCCAACTGAGGTCTTGTTGAGTGTTAACTAGTTCACTAGTTACTAGCCAGTTCTAAGCTCGGATAAAAAGAGAAGTTTGAGCATATGGATTGCAACCCTAACCCAGAAAACCAATCCAATCGCTATAGAAACTTCGAAGCACAGACAAAATATGCAAAATGAAAGCAAACTTATTCCTCTCTGGAATCGGAGAGACGAAATGACGCTGGTTGGTGAAAGCCTTCGGGAAGCCAATCGGCCGATATGTCTCCTCTTCTCTCGATGAAAGCGAAAGTAAACTTGCGGACATGGATATATATAACTTAGGCCATATCAAAAAGTTGGATAACAGTGAGACTTGAGGAAACTTCTACTAAACTGCCTGAGATTTTTTAACATAACCATTATTTTGACCATGATCAAGGTCTTTATTTAAACAAGCTTAACCTTCATGGTGTTCTTGGTGCTGATTGGCTGCTTCAAGGACAGAAAAACCTATAAGTTTAATTTTAAACTATGATTTACAAGAAGTCCCTGATTATTCAACCATGTAATGAGATGAATTATCCTAAACTTATTGATTATTGCCATATATTATGGCTGTGTTCGGTATCTTGATATCATGAATTTGTTTAATTGTTTTGGTATGATATATTTGGCAAAGCTGAAAAGGCTTTCCTACATGAAGGTGATTGGTATAGCGTTCAAACACTAAGGTATATAATGGGAGTTATGCAGCAGTGCGGTCTCAATACACCATCTGTATCATCAAGTATCATTTATTCAATCGCTAGTCTATTACTCACTTTCGTCGGATATTATTTCAGCAGTGTTTGCCAGAATTTTGAGCGTTACTGTAATGACCTTCAACTATTGTGAATAGCCTTCTGACTCCTTCAGATGAGGTTCCCATTCTTCACTATCCACTATTTCAACTATCTACGAGAATTGACTATGCATATTATATATCAGACTGTCATTGTATACATGCAACAGAAAAATTTTGTTTTCAACCGATTTCACTCACCTTTTGTACGACCTTTAGAGACTGGTTCTTTTAAATAAGTGGTAAGTTTCCCACATCCACGGGGTGAATTCTTGTCATCCAGGAGACTAGTAAAGAAAAGAAAATAGGAGTTTGAAATCAGCACAGTACGCTTTAATCTGATGATGATGATGATGATGAAAACTTCACGATTAAACAATCTAGGTTAGAGAACACAATACTATTAAAATTATCCTCCTGAGCTGCAGATGTTCTTCATTGTCTCGAAGTCGTACGAGCGTCAACCGTTTCTTATTGTTCAGAAATGCGAGAACTTTGCCAAGAGGTAGGTCTCCACAAGAGAACAATTATGTTTTCTCTATGAATGTCTACTCCAGCATATTCTACCGACTAGTGTGATATACAGACCATCTGTCGTCTGTCCAATGATTGAGAAATTAGTGGAAAGGAGTGGAAGACATACAGTACAATTAATGATTACCGATACTCATCATAGGATTCGGATATATAAAAAAAGTCAGGATACTCACAACAGAACACTTTACAACGTTGGCAACTACGATTTAAAAATCAAGTAGATGACTCAAAAACACAGAAGAAATATCCTTCAATAGAAGCTTAGCCAAGATTTCAAAACCGTGGCTATCAGAAGAGGTAGAAATAAGTGACTGCATAGTCAACTAATTTAACCAACATCTGATCAAACCCAAGGGAGTTCGCGATCAGAAAGGATTAAATTACACTACAGTAGACGCTTCAGGATTAGAATCCTTTGTGTCTCTAGAGTGGTCACTGAAGACTTCAGACGTAAACTCAGAGACCCGACAGGAAATATGACAACTAATTTTACGTCTGATCAGGCGGAAGCAAAACCGTAGTCAACTAATTAGTAAAAAAACAGAGAGCTCTTAAGAAACAATTCCAGCTGACAAAGGGCGTACCACAGTGGTCGTGGATAAAGACGACTATATCAGAAAGGCGGAAGGCTTACTCATGGACTAAAATGTATATCAACCAAGTGAAACAAGTCCTATTCAAAAGTTTAACTCTAACATCAACAAAATCTTGGACAAACTCGTCACAGCGGGACAATCCAGCTGACGTGTTCTTCCACTTTTCTATAGTTAACCAAAAATACACAAACCAAACATCCAGCTACAACCAGCATACAATCTGCCAAGAGAACTCTTTAGAAGATTAAAACATTTAGTAGAATCACACGACCACTCTGTCAACTCTTTGACACAGTTTCTGTAAATGATCAAGCATATTCATATTGACAACAAACAGATAGTGTCTTTTGACATAACACCTCTATACACATTATTATTATTTGTCCCTTGGGTTCTTAATGGAACATAGGGCCTCAGTAGCACGTCTCCAATGCGCTCTGTTCTCTGAAATCGTTTGAACCTGCCCCCACCACTGCCCACAAGCTCTCATTTCTTCTCCACACCATCTCATCAATGTCACCATCAGCTGGGACGAACAACTCATCGTTTCCCATCTGAGTTCCACTCGACGGCCTGACCTGGCCTAGCGTGTCATGTCCCAAGTAAGCCTTCTCAATGTATGCCCAATCCATCTCCACTTCATTCCACTGCATATTTGTTCAACGATACGTTCTTCGTTGGTTCGTTGCCAGCCGGCCAGACGTCTTCGGTGCTCATTCTTTTTGGCCATCTGAGCTTCAGTATCGAGCGAGCTTAGGAAGCACTTGTTGATGAATGTCTGTAGTTTAGTGAAAATATCTTCCGTAACGCGACAAGTCTCTGGACCATCACATAGAAGCACTCACTGACTTGACTGAATCAGTGTTGAAAATCCGAATGTTGTTCACACTTTATGCTGAGTGGAGTGTAGTGCAGAAGACCTCCACACTTGTTTCACACTAATCAACGCCTGTCTTGCTGTCTTTCCCATCCTGGATGGATTTGATGTCCTCGTCCGTACCATCTTTAGTTGAAACGATGCTGCCTAGGATGGTGGGTGAAAGAGGCTACTTCCTTCATGATTCTCCCATTGATAGTGAATGGAGCATGTTGTTGTTCTTGGTGGTGGTGGTGTTGATGTTGGTGGTGGTGGTGGTGGTGGTGGTGGTGGTGGTGGTGGTGGTGGTGGTGGTGGTGGTGGTGGTGGTGGTGGTGGTGGTGGTGGTGGTGGTGGTGGTGGTGGTGGTGGTGGTGGTGGTGGTGGTGGTGGTGGTGGTGGTGGTGGTGGTGGTGGTGGTGGTGGTGGTGGTGGTGGTGGTGGTGGTGGTGGTGGTGGTGGTGGTGGTGGTGGTGGTGGTGGTGGTGGTGGTGGTGGTTGATTATCCTCATCACCTCTGTCTTCTCCACATTCACTTGAAGTCGTGTCTTCACTGCCTCACCTCTTCTGTTAACTTGTTAGTTTTGCTTGTGGATCTTCGAGTTTGTGTGACATCAGGCACAAGTAATCGGCGGCGAAATCCAAGTTTTCTAGGTTCTTTTTTGCGGTCCACCTAATCTGAACCGAAACTGTCTAAGAATACAATGACTCTTCTCCTCAACAATGATACAAACCTCTCAGAACACTCATAACTAAAATGCTCAAGTTTGACGGAATAAGTTGATTTATGCCTTAAAACATATTTTCACTTTAGTGAACAACTCTAGAAACCAACAAAGGGAACACTAATGAGTTCTCCTGTATCAGGACTAATTGAAGAACCAGTAATGCAAAAATTGGGTACTATGGTATTGCCATTAAGCAAATTAAAACTTTGGGACTGATATGTAAATAACACGTTTGTCCTTATTCAACAAAACGAATTAGTGAACGCTTACAAATTACTCAATAACATTTTCAACGATAGTGAATTCAGAATCGTAAAGGAATCAAACAATAGACTTGCATTTTTAGTTCTTCTCATCACTAGGATGGATTCGCATAAATTGGAAAGTGAATTAAAGGAAACAACCAATCACAGATCGTTTCATCAAGGCAAGCTACTAAATCAGTGACGGAGAGATATTGACAGCTCATTTCATATTGAACTTAGTGGTGATGATGTCGTCTAGAAGAAGGATGATGAAAGCTTCTCCACGATTAAACAATCCAGCTTAGAGAGAGAACACAATGCAACCACTACTACCCACCTGAGCCACAAATATTCCTCAACTATAACAAAGAGAATCCAACGACTTGGAAAATCAGATGTATAAAATAACGAAGACAGAAACCTTGAGGAGAAAAGAAGAAAACTGTTTGGTGACTGTTTTCTAGAAGAAAGGCTATCCACGCAACTTCATCAAGAGATGTTTACATAATTCGTCACTAACCAAGAGGTCAAACTAAGAAACCAACAAATAGATTACCCTGGGCCGCATGAAGAATATCTTCAAGGTCACTACTGGATTATTGAATCCTTTTAAAAAGAATCGGTGTAGCTCACAAGCCTATAGAACCTTATCGCTCTCCAGTATGCAGGTCAAAATATCCAATAACAAAGGAAGAATCACCTGCAAAAACTGCGAAAAACACTACATTGGACATAGTGGTCATCCTCGTTGTATTTGTCTACATGAAAGCTTTATGATAGATCTTCACTCATATCGATGTATGCAAACAACTGTGGACATGAATTCGAATAGAAAAATGTGGGAATCCTTTAGAGAGGAAATACACAGAATGCCAGAAAATGTTTAGAAGCTTGGTATTCAGGTCAATCAGCAGACATACTGACATTGACCCAATCTATCAACCAATAGGAAAGAAGGTCAAATTTAAGGTTAGTAAGACAACCAATGAGAATGAAGATTTAGGCAATGAGAAGGCCATGTCAGGAACAACCAGTCACACACAAGGTCATCAGGAGAAGCCAGTAAATAAATTAGGGAGAAAACCTTATCGTTCACTTGTTGCTGAAGTTTGTATTGATGATGACAACGGAAGCTTTACTATTAAATCATCCAGCTTAGGAAGCACAATATCATCAAAATGTACTCACATAAATCGATGCAAACATATGCCTATATGCTGCGGGTTCGTATCCTATCATGACTTAGATTTTCATCTCATTTTTAGTCATCCCTGAGTATCAATAATGCGAATAGAACAGACTAAAACTATCTCTAATAGTCACATTGATCGGTTTCTAACAGTTGTAAAAACAGTAAAGGTTGATAAATTTTATGAATATTCACTGAATCGAAAATATTAGTTTATTTCGATTCTCAGCTTGTGATTGGTTGGAATGTATGAAGATACTTTTGTCAGTGTATAATCGTTGATATCAGAGAGTATTCTAAGATTGACACCACCTAGAGAACTATTGAAAATCTAGGCACATCAGATAATTTGTTCATCCTATTCTGAGTGCTCCTCAGCATTTGACTCTAAACTGTGCAACTTTATATGCGCCTAACATTATTTTAAACCCTGAAACCTACTTTATATCACTACAGAGGCAGTTGATAAACAATAGTAAATATGCGTAATCTCAATGTTCTATAGATGTTTAGAATCAGTCAAAGACTTTACCATTTAACTATATAGTCCCTGATCACAGCACTAAGCGATGAGGGTTGAAATTGCTAAGAAGACACCAGTTTTTTTGATAATTACAGATACACCTTGTTGATGAGGCCTGCAGGTTCAAAACGTATGCTAAGTGAGGCTGTCTATCGACTGAGTGTCAGTATCTACAACAAAAATACAGTGCACCACATTGTTGCATTGCTCAGCTTAACGATCATACTGCGAACTTGATCAGCTCCATCGGTCACTCACTGGTCACCAATTTCCTGTATGTATTTGACAGTAATTATCGTTCGTAGATTCTTTCAATGATAGAACAAACCATAATCTCTGAACTCTCAAACATTTTTCTCCGCTACTGTATGAGAGTAGTTCTCTTGAAGGATAGCTGCATGCTTATTGATGTCTGAACATCCTAAAACAGGCATCACCTAGATATTTCAGTGACTAGAACTTTGGTTGTAAAACTAATTTTCTGGGTAGAGGGGAAAAATTCCCTTGTGAGATTGTAGACACATGTTTTCGCTACATACCAAAGATCAAAATAGGTGTGCAGGAGGTTTGAAAGGAAGGAGAGGTACCTGTCAACTGATTGGAAGAAGGGACACCTTGTCAAACTCCCAAACAAGAGAGACCGAAGTGTTTGCAAGAACTGGTGTGGAATCACGCTCACGTCCACTCCAAGCAAGCAAAATATTATGCCGCATCATACTGAAGAGACTGAAGGATGCGCTCGATCCAAAACTACGACCAGAACAGGCTGCCTAGATTCAGGAAGTACAAATCATATGCAGACCAAATTGCAATGCTCAACTACACATCATCATCATACAACGTAGCACAGAATGACAGTCAACTCTCCACCTCAACTTCATCAACTTTGAAAGGGTCGGTGTTCGACAGCGTCGATCGAGAATTCACTTGGCAAGCAGTTGCTTCAACACCACAGAATACCACAAACCTTTACCAACCTCATTCAACAGCTGGCTATATGAAGACGCCACATGCCAAGTAATTCACAATGAGAAGCTCAGTGCTGCCTTCGAAGTGAAGTGAAGTGAAGTGAAGTGAAGACAGGAGTAAGACAAGGTTGTCTACTATCATCGATGATCTTCCTGATTGTGTTGTGGTCGACTGGACTGGATCATGCGACAAACTGTGAGGAGCGAGGAGAGTGGGATTCACTGGACCACGGAAATGAACCTAGAAGATTTGAATTTCGCTGATGACTTATGTCTAATGTCGCACAAACTCGAAGAGCCACAAGCAAAACTAACATGTTGACAGAAGAGGCGAGGCAGTGGAGACACGACTTCAAGTGAATGTGGAGAAGACAGAGGTGATGAGGATAATCAACCACCACCACCACCACCAACAACAACAACAACATGCTCCATTCACTATCAATGGGAGAATCATGAAGGAAGTAGCCTCTATCACCCACCATCCTAGGCAGCATCGTTTCAACTAAAGATGGTACGGACGAGGATATCAAAGCCATCCAGGATGGGAAAGACAGCAAGACAGGCGTTGATTAGTGTGAAACAAGTGTGGAGGTCTTCTGCACTACACTCCACTCAGCATAAAGTGTGAACAACATTCGGATTTTCAACACTGATTCAGTCAAGTCAGTGAGTGCTTCTATGTGATGGTTGGTGTGTCACGAAAAGCATTTCCAACAAACTACAGACATTTATCAACAAGTGCTTCCTAAGCTCGCTCGATACTGAAGCTCAGATGGCCAAAAAGAATGAGCACCGAAGACGTCTGGCCGGCTGGCAACGAACCAACGAAGAACGTATCGTTGAACAAATATGCAGTGGAATGAAGTGGAGATGGATTGGGCATACATTGAGAAGGCTGACTGGGACATCACATGCTAGGCCAGGTCAGGCCGTCGAGTGGAACTCAGATGGGAAACGATGAGTTGTTCGTCCCAGCTGATGGTGACATTGATGAGATGGTGTGGAGAAGAAATGAGAGCTTGTGGGCAGTCGTGGAGCCAGGTTGGAAACACTGGAGAGAAGAGGGTGGAATGGAGACGTGCTATTGAAGCCGTTTGTTCCACTAATAACCCAAGACAACAAAAATAATTTTTATTTTATTTCTATTTAAAATACTGTAGAATATGCTCTGTTTAAATATTTTAGTGTAAAAGACAAACGATTCGTGAAGAGTTAGGCTGATGTTAAGAAATCGAGAAAAAACAAACATGTATTGTGATAGAAAGAACAGATTTTGAAAGGCAAATGTATAAATTATCATACACTAGAAATGAGGTAATAAACCAGGAGAAAATCTAGGACACCTCTGAAGAAATCAGTTACTCGTAGACTTTTATTTGATTTATCATCGAACTAGGAAAGATAATTTACTTCGAATTGAAGTTAAGGGTGAAGGGAATTAGCATGAGAGTTATAGTTAAGCGTGTACTATAAAATTAGAGCCTAACTAAACTTATATCTGTAAACGGAAAACAACTAGTCATACGCCATGTCAAAGAAAATCATACCATCAAGTTGGTCTTCATCATGGACTGATGTCAGTGTTGGAGAACCATTGAACACCTCAACAATGAGTGCTCATGATCCCCTTCCTGCAGGGATCAAACTTGGGACCTTCAAGTTACACAGCCAACACGTTAACATTGAAATACAAGGTCAAAACCAGTGATCGACCTTTTCCTACTATCCTGACATTTAAATTTGTTCGCTCCAGCGGTTACAACTTCACATTATAACTTCAGGAAGACGGTGATTCTTTTGGGAGGTTTGTGTGGATATGACTGGTTTCAAGTTGGTATTCATCACTGAGTTTGCGAATGATTTGCTCAATTTCGTTGTCAACAACCAAGATGATAAGGTATGATCTCTGACACGAAAGTGCCATCAACTACCGAAACTTACTCTCAATGAAGTGCAAAGACATCCAGCTGACGAGTCTCAAGCACGACGTAATGTGCATCCTGGACTCAGTGGTAGACGCCAAGATGGATACAATGTAATGAATGCTCATTAGTATCGCGGCATCCACATAGGAGACAATTCGCCAACAGAGGTGGAAGGAACCTGGAGCATTGAATAGCTGCTTCATTTTACCAACGGATTTCTTATCAGGATTCACCGAAGACTTTGTCAGGGATGAGATCCACAACCTTCAGCTTTCACTAAAAGTACGTCACCATTTAAGCACCAGGTCAGAACGCGGTGGTCCTCATTTTGCTACTTATCTTACCGGTCATGACTTCTCATTACAGTTTCAAGATTTCAACTCACTAGCTTGTTGGTAACTTGCTGTATGTGCAATCCGGAGGTCCTATGTTCCATCCCTGGCGGGTTTACGGGCATGGAATGCTGAGTACACTGACACTGGAACAAAATAGTTATCCAATGCTCACAGAGTGACATTAGTCCATAATGAATGGCAACTTACAATCAAATCTGTTTTTTTACTTACCATGGTTTGAAGAAAATCTCCGGTTCATCTAAACACCTACGGCGATACATGTCTGTTTCAACAAAACTTTTCTTCTCATCTACTTCTAGTTTCATTTCACATTGTGCACAACTAATATTTCTTGCCGGTGTAAAACCTTTTTTAGTGAATAAAAAGAAGAGGAAAATCATTATGAATAAATTGAAGAAAAATTTGTTCAAAAATTGTGTTTAAATCTAGTTGAGCTGTTCTCATAAATTGACATCGATTGGAAAATATAGGGATATTGGACGATTGTTTCGTGCAATTTTAGGATTCCTCAGCCGTGCACAACTAGGATACTTTGTTAGATTAAGTTGAAGAATATCAGATTGGGTGATTTATGGGTTGTAATTCAATAGTCTATTGTTTTTTCTACATCTGTCAGTTCATGAAATAGTTGGACCAACGTTGAATATCATCGATGGTTATCCATCTTTATTCTTGATCTTTCTTACCCTATAAATCATATAATGATTATTCACAGTGATCAGAATGATTTAGAAATAAAATTTATTGGGATAAGTAAATTAATTTCTAAAAACGGTTTAGTAAACAAGCATGAACTGACTTTTTTATGTTAATAATTATTTATGCTACCCAACGTCACCATACCAACAACAACAGCAAGCTCCAATCACCATCAATGCGAGGAACTTAAAGGAATTAGCCTCTCTCACCTATCTAGGCAGCATCGGTTCAACTACAGGCGGCACACACGAGGATGTCAAAGCCAAGATAGGAAAATCAAGACAGGCGTTCACTAGTCTGAAACCAGTATGGAGATCTTCTGCACTCAGCATAAAACGTGAACAACATCCGGATTTCAAACACCAATACCAGTCAAGTCAGTGCTGCTATGTGATGTTTCAGAGACTTGGAGCGTTACGAAAAGCATTTCCAATAAATTACAGATATTCATCAACAACTTCTTACGCTGGTTCAATACTGAAGATCAGATGGCCAGAAAGAATAACCAGCGAAGAACTCTGGCCAGTTCGCAACGAACCAACCAAGAACGTATCGCTGAACAAATATGCACTGGAAGGAAGTGGAGATGGATTAGGCATACACTGAAAAGGCCTACTGAAGAACACCACGCGCCAGGTCAGGCACTCGAGTGGAACCCAGATGGGAAACGATGAGTTGGTCGTCCCAGCTGATGGTGACATTGATGAAATGATGTGAGGAAGAAATGAGAGCTTGTGGGCTGTCGTGGAGCCAGGTTGGAAAGACTGGAGAGAAGAGAGTGGAATGGAGATGTGCTACTGAAGTCCTATGTTCCACTAGGAACCCAAGGGACAAATAATAATAAAAGTAATAATTATTTATGCAAAATTTCAAGAGTTACCATCTGATTTAGGATTAAAATTTAACTTTTTTCATGGAATTGCATGATAAAATTCTTTCATGTATTTAACTAAAGAGAAAGCCACTATCTGAAAATTTCTAAATACAGGTATATGAAAAAGTTTGAAAGGATGAAAATGATAAAAAGAAAGAAAAGGAAACGTCATCAGACAAAGATCAATTAATAAAATTGAATGTTGTCCATAATTTATCCAACAGAAACCTTTGAGTACAACTTTGAGTTAGACTTTATATAGTCGTAAATTTTTCGCCACCTTTGTGATATGAACAGTAAGATTTTCCATATATCTAGGATAGGCTAAGGATCATTTCTATTATCGCATTTATTTGGTGTGGATTTGATGAACAAAGATTCGGTTATCAATCTATCCCTCCCTTCACTCAATTATGTTAGTTTTCAACACTGTAATTGTAATGCATGCAGAGCTATAGGTGAACTTTTTCTTTAAATTTCTTATCTTATTACTATCTACTAATCTTGATTTAGCTTAGCTAATCGACTCTGACTAGTCGACTAGTTTGACCTATGCAATTTCATCTCACTATCATCTCGAGGGATTTAGTAAACAAGATTATCTTAGTTCATTGCATTGATAGGATCTTTTAACCTACAAAGCTTGTTTTTCTCAGCGAGTTTTTCGATGGAAATCCTAGCCACTTTAATCCCAGTCAGCCTTATTCAGAATTATTCGTAATACTTCTGAGGTGATTTCCTTTTATAGTAACACAGCAGAGGCTTTGAATTCTATCTCAGCCCTGTCGCCATTATTACTATTAGTAGTGGAATTATTATTAATGCCGCCTGTATTACTACTGGTACTACTACTACTACTACTACTACTACTACTACTACTACTACTACTACTACTACTACTACTACTACTACTACTACTACTACTACTACCACTACTACTACTACTACTGGTAATATTTTTCTTTCGCATTCTTATGAATTTACTTATACATTCAGGTGGATAGTTGATAAGACTTAAGGTATTCCTGGTGTATCTAATTTCTTGTCGTAGATTCTCTGGTCTATTGGTAAGCTTTTTCACCCTATCGCTAATGCATTTAACTAAGCCTAAGTTTAATCGTGCAATCCAACATCACCTTCTAAGTCTCAGGTAAATTGAATTGGGTTCACTACTGAATTTATATGTGTTAGAGATTGATCACCAAATCTTTTCTTAATGAATCAACACCAACTACACCCGTTAATAGAAATGATCTACACCTGTTACAGATATATGGAAAATTCTACTACTCTTGTCATCACAACGAAGGAGAGAAAATTACGAGTGTATAAACTGTGTCTCAGAATTGTGGAGATGGATATGGACAATAAATTATGTCTGGAACGTTATCTAGTAAGTGATACTGTCCCTTCAGTGTGTGTGATATTTCTAATAAACAGACTTACCTCGTCACACAATGTTGGTCGAAGTAGGTCCAGGCTGGAAAAAGGTCCGTGGTGGCCAGACTAAAACATGGCACCAATGCATGAAGTGTTTGGCTGTTGGTTTGAGCCATGTAGGGCCATGCAGACTAGTCGGTTGGGCTTCGCGGGACAAGATGAACCAGTGGTTGGAGACTCTAGATAATCACATGGCTCAGAACCGATATCAGCGGGTTGAAGATGTATACACACATTATCCTCATCTTAACGACGCTATACCGAGTCTCACCATTTTGTCATTCTTCCTTTCTCTCTTTTCGCACTTTATATTTCTTTTGACCGAATTTCCTTATCTTCATCTTGGACCTCACTGCCTTTTTACTTGATGTGCTGATATGAAGTGTGGCAGAAACTCGGACCGTTACGCAGTAATGCCTGGTCCTATGTTGATATTAATGATGATAATGATGAATAAACAGACTGAAATGGAATTTCACTCTACCGTAGTAATCACGTTTTACTCCTATATTAACAAAGAGACATCGTTTCTCTGGCCTATTACTTCATACTTGAGTTGAATGTTCTAGCCTAACAGCACATAGATGACTGTTGATGGGGATCCAATCGAGTAGCGCAGCTTCAGCTTGAGTGCTTAGTGAGACACCGATGCCACAGGGTCCTCGGAAAAGCTCACACGAAACATACTTTCCGAGCCACCTGGAAGTGGCACCAATCTTCGGATCAGTGATGAAAGTCTACCGGATAAAGACACATTTTACCCCAGAAAGTACCCATATTCCACCAAAACAAATATATATGCCATCAAATATCTTAGAAAAACAGGTATCAGCCCTCCAAAACTTACCAAAGGATAAAACATACGTAATTACTAAGGTAGATAAAGGAAATGTAACAGTGATTCTGAACAAAACTGACTATAAGCATAAAACACATGAATATGTCTCAATTGGTCTCTATGAAGAAATTGAATCAAAAAGGGTCAAGCAATGAAGAACAAGATGAAAACAGAAACAGATCATCTTTTAAAGCAAACGAGACCGTTCATCAGAGGTTCATAATGGTTTTCCCGATATCGAAAATCATGCACCTCATCAAGTTTCGATGGATTACCGAAAATTCAGAAACTCGGTATCCCTCTGAGTAGATTTTATAAATTCTCCAAAATATGCTTTATCTAAATATGTAGCATCATTATCAAAACCTCTCCAACGCTTTGTTGTCAACTCAGTTCAAGAATATCAGAATTATCTATTGCAGAGAATGAAACAAGGGTAAGTTATGGTGTTGCTTCTCTGTATCCTAGTATTCACTTTGAAACATGTTTAGAGTTTATAGGTGAACTGATAGAATGTGACCCCCATGCTGGCAGACAGATGTGAGTTGAACCCCAGTCTCATCATGAAAGCACTTGTAATTTGTTTAAGTTTGACACTCCTCAAGCTTAGAAGAAAAGTATGCAAACAAACTAATTGAGTAGTCATGGGTTCTCCGGTGTCCCCCGTCGTTGCAAACCTATTCATGTCCCATAATGAATCATTCATCTTTTCTAACGCCATCAAACTACGTATTTGGCTCAGATATGTGAGGTAGAGAAAACGGGACTTAAAGTGAACGTAGAGAAGACGGAGGTGATAGAGATACACAACCAGCAACACTATCAACAGGAGAAACCTAAAGGAAGTAGCCTCTCACCTATCTAGGCAGTATCGTTTCAACTACAGGCGACGGCACAGACCAAGATGTCAAAACAAGGATCGGAAAATCAAGACAGGCTTTCACTAATCTGAAATCAGTGTGGAGATCCCCTGCACTCAGTATAAAGCGTGAACAACTCAGTGCTGCTATGTGGTTCAGAAACTCTCCGCGTCGCGAAAAACACTTCCAACAAACTACAGACATTCATCAACAGCTGCCTACGCCGACTCGATACTGAAGATCAGATGGCTAGAATAGTGAGAATAAGCAACAAGGAACTCTGGCTGGCAACGAACCAACCAAAAACACATCGCGCAACAAATATGCAGAAGGAAGTGCAGATGGATTAGATTGGACGTACAATGACAAGACGGTTTGTGGACACCACTCACCAGGTCGTTGAATGGAATCCAAATGGGACACGATGAGTTGGGCGTCTCAGATGAGGGTGACATGGAGGAGAAATGAAAGCTTCTGGGTGGTCATGGAGCGAGGTTGAGAAGACTGAAGAGAAGAGAGTGAAATGGTGACGTGCTACTGAAGCCCTATGTCCCACTGGGAACCAAAGGGATAAATAATAATAATAATAATTTTTATTTATAATTACTACCTGAGCAAGGAATTTCAACATTTTT